GCGTGCGCGTGCGCGTGCGTTTGTCGAGTCGACGTCGAATCGGAACGGAGGTGGTTCGTCGCAGATGGAAAATCGCACGCGATCGCACGATTAGATGTAGTAGACTCACGCCTACTTTGGCTTCACCGTGCTTCTCCGCTTTCGACTGGCACGCCGGTACACCCTCGACTCGCTCTCGCGGAAAGATCGAGCTTGCTCGCACCGAACACGATACAGTTGAACGTGCTCGCTCGTTTTCAGATGAACAAAGGGGTACAGCTGTTTTTGGAAAAAAGGTACAGCGAGAGTATTCAGTCCATCCCGCCGGTCACCACGTTGGTCGCCGCGTTGGTGAAATACGCGAACGCACTGATCAACTTGGACAAGGTAAATTCTCCCCGCGTTTCGTTCGAGGAGATTCGATCGTTGACGCCTCGAATCCGCGGCGTTCCAGGTGAAGACGATACTCTCGACGATTAAGAACGACAACGAACGCTACAAGGATCTGCCAGAGTTCCGGATTCTCGACCGACACAGTTCGCAGGGCAGACTGTTCGTTCTAGCTTTCGGAGGTACGCTCTCCAGAATTCTCCGTTCAAAGTAGACCGTTTTCATTGGAGTTGCGAGTTTCCAGGGTACGTGACCTTCGCAATGACGACATACCTGTCGCTTCCGATCCTGGACATTCTAAGAGACATCAGGCACCTCCAGAATGTTACGGAGCCGAGAATGATTCTCCCGCTGGAGTATAACATCGACCACGTGAAATATTACTATGCCATCACCGTGCACAGCTACTCCACCACTATGCTGGTGGTGTTTATGATTGTGGCGCTGGACTCGCTGTTTATCGTAGTCATTCAACACTCTTGCATTCTATTCTCTATTACAGGGTACGTGTGTACTCTGCTCGTTCGAGTCGACTCGAAACGAGCGTCGCATTGAAAGATACGAGTCTAGATTTAGGTTGAAAACGGCACACATTTTGAACGAGGAGATCCTGTACCGAGGCGACGAATGGAAAGCTGTGAACGTCGTACGATTCACAGCGGAAGAACAGAAGCACGTGTTGCGGAAATTGACCTGTTCCATCAGGGAACACGGTAGGGCTCTCGAGTAAGTACGGAACGGCTCGGATCGGTGCGCAACCAAGATACCAACGACGCGTTCCATCGAACGCGCACGGTGGAGAGAAACGATTCTACTTGCCTCGTTACGTACCGATCGCGGTGAGAGCTCGATGCCGATACATTCACGGTGAAACCGAATCGACAACGAAGCGGAATCGTTTCTCTCCAGCATTTGTCCTATACGAGACAATCGGAAAAGTAGTGTGCGTGACGGATCGCTCTAACGATGCTTCAGATACACGTTGCTTCTCCAATCGACCTTCTCCACGGCACTATTCTTTCAAGTGTTTTTAACCATTCTGTGCATGAGCGTCAGCGCGGTAGAAGTACGTCACCGCATACGGGTCGGATCGAACGGGCTCGGCAAGAATGCACAGTACGATTCAAACGATTCTCGTCTATCTATCGTGTCTCGATGTCTTCCAGATACTATTGAATCTGAAGAGATTCGACGTTGTACTGGGAATGGCAGTCTGGCTGGTGGGCCAGGAAGTCCACTTGTTCTTCCTCTGCCTCAACGGGCAGAGACTATCGGATTTTTGCGAGAACGTCTATCGCGACGCGTAAGGAATATCATCGTCGCTCGAAACACCTGTAATCTACCGTTCGAACAACATTCGAATAATTCTGCTTCTAGCCTCGAGTGCGCATGGTACACGTTTTCCGCCAAGAGTAAGGTGATTTATCGGTTCTTGATTACCAACATTTTGACGCCTCGCCAACTGGTCGCCATGAAGTTGATAGTGTTGAACATGCAAACCTTCCAAGCGGTTCGTAAAAGATGAACATTCTTCGACACATTTACCAA